ATAGCGAAGGGTTTTGAGAGGTTGTTGTGGACTAAAACCCGCGCAGTGGTGGCTGGTGACTGGCTGATGAGAGCTAACAAGCCAGAAATGGCTCAACCGAAATTTCTCACTACCAAGACTACTAGGTGCTGTGCGGCTGCTTTCAGGACCCAAGGCAGAACGGGACCAGTGAGTTCCGTTAGCGGCTAATAAATGTTCAGCAACGAGTGTCAATATCTCCCGATCTAGACCGATAAGACAACGAGGTCATGGCTCAGTGGTTAGAGGGTTAGACTCTGATCGAAAAGGTCGCGAGTTCGAGCCTCGAGTGGTGCACCAATTGCGGTTGGGTATGACTGGCTGACGATGACGGCTAATAAGCCAGAAATTGCCATTTCTGTCTCCTTTGTCTTTGTTTTATGCTACGGCAAGAATGACCATTTTTGGTCTGTTAGCTATGTGAGTAAAGCGCTCTACATCGAGCCTCAAGGCAACAGAATGATTAAATCCTATTAAGTGACCAATGAACGTCCTTTATACGCAACCAATAGGGTGAGCCCTTGGCCTGCTGGTTATAACGCTGAACTTCTTAAAAAAGGTTTGCAAACTTGCAATTGAGTATGGCTGACTGTCTTCGGCCTTTGAAAACACTTGGTTACTGTCACCTACGAAAATATTACTTGTCAAGTAGTGATTAGTTATTTAGTGAGAACGTTCACCATGGTTTTCTAATGTTTCCGTAAATCTAAGCGAGCTCTATTAGAGATTTTTGTTTTGGCCGGACGCATAAACATCTCGTACGAAGGAGGACCCTGGCAGTGCGGTTTCTAATAGGAATTCAGTTAAGGATCAACATTTCGATCGCCGTGAAGGACGATTTTCACCGTATGCATCGAAGAATGGTCGCAGGACTGTGACTTCAGCGCGAGTTAGTTTACAGTAGGGCTTATAATCCACCAAACTCTCTCCCTCTGCAGTCACATGGCTCTGAGGAGAAGACGCCTGGAAATGTGTTTTCACCGTGCCTGAGGAAGCAAAACAGCCCGTCTACACGTACCACGTGCAAGCTAGTGCCCAGGACATACACCAGGGTGGCTCGCATGCGTGAGTGCAACAGGAGTTATGCTAAAAAGAGGCCACGGTAGCCTAAGTGGTTGTGCTGAGATCTACCCAGTTATTCCGTCAGTTAGCAGCCTGCCAAGCGACGAACTTTGACAAATCGCGATCGGTTCAAGTGTGCCGGCTTGAGTACAATGATATATGTGTTCAAGTGCCGTGGGGATGGTCTGTTCAGTGCCGAATGCACTCCTTCCCCACCGCCTAACGCACCAGTCGATTAGCGTAGCCTGCCTGACAACGGATGACGGGATTGGACACAGTGGCTGGCGCGAAGTAAAGCCTTACGTCCAGACGTACACCCACAATTTCCCCCGTG